TGAATAAAGTTTTATTGGGATACAGCCACACCTTTTTGTTCACTTTTTGTCTGTGGCTGTTTTTATATGATAGTGGCAGAACTTAGTAATTTCAGCACAGATGTGTGATTTGTAGGGCCGGGGATTTAGCTCAGTGGTTCTGCCATCTGCCTCGCAAGCACAAGGACCGAGTTTGATCCCCGGTACCAAAAAAGATACCTAAGATGAGTGATTTGCAAAGTCCAAAATATTTACTATTTGGCCATTGACATTGAAGGTTGGCTGGCCCCTGTGCTTGGGGATAGATTTTTTTTTTTTAATGCTAAAAGAAGTGCAGTCTCGTTTGCCACCTGACAAAATTTGTTTTTAGTTTGGCATGTAAAACATTTAAAATTTCCACCAGAAAGATAAAATTGGATCCCCTGAGAAAAGGAGGAAGGCATTAAACAGTTAAAAATATTTATACTTTCTGAAATCTTCATGAACAGATGAAACAGACATGTAAACATACCACCTATAAGCATGTATCTTTGTATGCCAAAAACTGCTGAAATTTTAAATATGATGGTTGTCTACTCTTTTAAAGAAGGTTTGTTTTGTTTTTTGTTTTTGAATGAAGGAATTGAATGTGTTGTTGCTAATGACACTGTGCTGAGTCTTTTAAAAACACATTTTTCCTGATGCTTAAATGTTGTTAAAAACATGTGCCAAGAATTCATCATAGCAGCAGACGACACACCCAAAATATTGAGCTAGGGTTTACATAGCCACATCCTTCCCTGTCATTTTTTCCTTTAAAGCTTAGTTAATTTTCTTTTCATTGCTAGTTCACATTTCTCTGGTCTCTCAACTTGGAATAAATGACATTCTCTGTCTCTTGGATTGTTTCACTAGACATCAGCCGTCACCGTCAGAAGCCAGTGAGAAGTGGGAACAGTATTCTTTGCTCAACAATTTCATTCTTTCACCTGAAGAACTATTTTGCAAAGCTTCTGATCTTGTCATACGAGGAAGTTCCTTCCACCCAGCTTTAATGACAGCATAAACAACTCACACTGTAGTTGCTAATAGTTCCAAAGCAGCATTTTCATAAGTCATGCAAACTGCAATAGCAGTGTGGAGGGAGGAGTTTTAAGTATGAGACTTCCTGAGTTGAGACTTGCCCACTGGCTGCCTCACGTACACTTTCTTCCCTTGAACAATTGGAGTCACAGAGAGAACTTAGAGTCTATGACAGTTCTACAAAAAAACAGAACAGGGAAGTAGCATTAACAACTTTTTTTTTACTGCCATCTCCTACATGTATTAGTAGGTGTACAACTTCATTGTTGTTCATCTTTTTTCATTTGTCTTTGTACCTATGGTTGAAAACGGTAGTTGGTCTATGACTTTTGAAGAGGTAAGTTTTTAATCTATGTGCGTCTGTATCAGTGTCTGTCTCTTTGATAAATGCAGTATCCTCCTCCCAAAAGTTACTAACCAAACTTTCACAGTGGTGCATCTTGTATGGAAGAGGGGAGGGGACTAACGAGGAAAGTTGTTGGCTGCTTTCTGTTCAAATGGTGCCAACTGGGAGATGGAATATGCTTCAGATGGTACAGTGTGAGGTGTAAGGGCTATGTAACCAATGTCTCCTACAGTCTTTTCTGAAAGGTACAGGAAGCAACCTTCCTGTTTTGTTTACAGGCTCCGAGCATTCAGTACCTCTGCTTTTGCTGTCTCTGGGCTGACTGAGGTTATCAGGGCTGACTTTAAGTCTCTCCTGTGGGCAGACCTTGCCAACATTTCAAAACGAACCAAACAAGGTTGCTCCCTTATCCAAGCCCATCAAACCTAAACTCGTTCTCCATTCTGGTATAAAGGCAAACTTCTCTTAAATCAGTCAGTTCTGCGGAGTTCTGGCTCCTTGGGAAGGGCTGGAAAAGACAGCGAAGCGATGTCAGCTCTGTTAACTCTTGGTCTGTAGGGGGAGTTCTCACAGGAAGTCTCCATCTCGGTAGCTGTGTCTCACTGTAGCGCTCAGTGGCACTAGAGGACTTGTGAGTACACATCGACATCCTCAGGCTCATACTTTGGAGGACGATACTGCATTTTTGGCCCAAAGCTTGCTTTCCCACTTGTCTGTGAGTGCACAGCTGGAGTCTGACACTTCCCACTGTGCGGCTTGCTTTGCAGACACCAAACTGAAGCTTCTTGCTAAAGCAAAAGCCAGTAGTTGCGCCCCCTCGCCTGTTCTGCTTTTGAGGGATCCTCAGACACTCAATTTCTCCTGTTTTTCCCCAGCCACACCCCTACCCCTTCATATGTGTATCTCTGAGAAAGGGTTTAAGTTGTTGCAGTCGTTGTAATGAGAAGTTAGCAGCCCGAATTTCAGCTGAGTTCACTCCCCTCCTTCTTCTGTAGCATATAATCCATCAGACGTTTGTCTTTGATCAGGAGTGAAATAGCTACCTAGTGTGGTTTTTAAATGCTTTAATAAAATGCCTTCCCACAAACATCATATGCCTTTACCTGGAGGTTATTTTAGTGCAATTCTAAACAGGTAACTATAACCTGAAAAACTGGTAGCTATGGCATTTTGACTTGTGCTAAAGCAACGAAATGTAAATAACAGCTAAAAAGCAATTTGTACCACATAGTTCTTTGAGTACAGTTTCAGTAGAAAAAGGAGACTTCACTCAGGATTAGGTATTGAAGTAGGCTTATACTTGGTCTCTTGAAAGGATTTATCAAGAAACTAGAAAAATCTCTTCCCCACCTAAGAATGTGTGTTATGAAATAAGTTTTGTTGAAATTGTTCTGGGTGGTGCTGTTCTTTCCTGGCAGGGAGGAAATTTATTGAAAGAGTTTTCAAAACCTTTTTGATTTTTAAATGTAAGTTTTCTGCAGGTATATAAGTTGTTTGCACAAAAATAAGTAATAGATGCGTCAGAAGTGAAAACTGACTCTCCAGCCCTTGCTAGAAAGTGAGTTCCTTTCACAGAGATCAGAAGGTTAATTGCAGAAGCTCTGGCCTAGCTCCCACATTTGTTATGCTTCTGTGGGAGGGCAGAACGTGTGCACATTGAGGGAACACACAGAACTTGAGGGATACAAGTTGACTTTTCAGATGCAGATACCGTCTTCTCAGGGTATCTGGGGCAAGAGTTGTTGGCCAGGCAATATTTCTCAGAGGTTATATTGAGCCTGTCACAAAGGATGAGACACTGTGGCTCTGTATAGAATGCGACCTTCCATCAGGAGTGGACTAAAAAGTTTTTCTGTCATTTCAGTACTTTATTCCTGCCAGTGAAATTCGAATTCTAAATTGCCTGTTTTTAAATAAAACTTTCCAAAAATTCTCTAACAAATATATATTCAGTGTAAATAACTTGGAAACATTTTTAAAGGATGAGGACAACCCTAAAAATAATCCACCAACCAAACTGTTTATATATATTGTTTATATTGTTATAAAAATTGGATTTCCCAGTTACTTTTTTTCTCCTAAAAGGTGGCACATTTCCTCTTACTATTTTTTTGTAATATTTTATTATTGTGTGGAATTCTGATATGGGTTAACCTAGATGTTTAAGTGATATGGAATATTTCACTAGATATCTTTTAAAAGAATTTTTGACATCCCCCAACTATTCCAAGGTCCCCCCACCCACACACACACATAAAAATATAGTCAGATATTCAGATTTGTCCTTTAACTTCTCTGCTGGCCTTCCCTGTTTATGAGTGCTCTGCCGAGGAGAACCTCTGCCTTTTCCCTATTGTCTGTTTTTAGTTCTTTTTAAAAAAACAAAGCAAAAAGCAAAACATAAAAGACAGATTAGGCACTCTTCTTTCTAGAAGAGACAGATAAATTAACTTCTCCCAACCTAGTATGCTGTGAAACACTATGTTCTGGAACATGTATTTGTCGTCGTCTATCTTCTTTTTCATCGGTGCTTTCTCTGGTTTTGCCACCCTTACAGAAAACAGTCAGGGAGGTAAATCTAATTCATGGCATCACCATATTGAAGTCTTTCTGGTCATCTGGCTTGAATCTCCTGTAACCGTTAACAGAAGCAAAGACAGCAGTTTTGACACTGTGGAATGGAAGGCACTGAATTGCTATTTGAAAATAGACATAAACATACCAATTTCACAATGGCTAAAGTGGGGAGAACTTGCTTCATAAGAATTAATCACTTGGTGCTTTTGTCACATAGTTTTGTTTCACATTTTTTTCCTCTGGGAGTTCAAGGGTGTGGGGGGAAAAAGACAGACCAGTAGTTTATTTTACTTTTTTTGGGGGGGGTACTGGGAATTGAACTCAGGACCTTGTGCTTGCTTGCAAGGCAAGTGTGCCACCACTGAGCTAAATCCCCACCCTGCAGTATCTTTTTATCTGAAGTTTAAATAAAAGAAACAAACATTTAGAAACTTATTATAGGTACTATGGCTTTTACTAACACACAAACATTTTCAAAAAATAGATACTTACTCAAAGAAGTTTTAAAAATTAACTAATAGCAAGGTCATGAACCCACATATCTTGACTAATGTTCTTAAATGTTCTGTATCGATGCGAACCCTGATCCTGGAAGACAATGTGATGAAATGTCTAGTGTCATCCCTTCTGCGTCTTACAATTTCTCTTGCAGCCAGGGGTGGAGCTCCCATGCATGTTTCCAACAAAGAATTGCTTGTGTCAGTGTTCTAGGTCTCTATGAGAACCTCATGGCATTGGGAGTCTGGTTAGGAATTTTGCTCTTGTGGTTCACTTTTTATAATTAAGTTCTGTCTGGAGAATTTGAGGGCCAGTTGTTAAGTCCTCTGGGTAGAGTACCGCATCTGCACTGCTGGCTAAACTCACTGTTGTTTCCCAGACAGCCGTCATGCCTTCCTGTGCCACTTGCTCCTTCTCCTGTTCACACCTACGAAAGTTCACTTTGTTGCTGTTGCTTGTTTTTCCCATTAGCTCCTTTTGTTTCTACTGTATGTGCAGATACTAACATCCACCTCTGGCTGTTGCTGTTTTTCTGCAGAGGGAGAACAGAAGATTACAGGAGGCCAGCATGAGATTGGAGCAAGAGAATGACGACCTTGCTCATGAGCTCGTAACCAGCAAGATTGCTCTGCGGAATGATTTGGATCAGGTAAAACTGTAGTTCACTAGGTGGAATTGAGTCTGTGACAACTTCTGGAGGGCAGGGACCACGCTGCTCTCCCCCACATTACCCCAGCTCCCTCTGCTCTAGGCGCAGGTGAACTGCTTGATAAACAAGTTGAGTGGGTGGAAGGGGACCAATGTAGTTGTATTCTAGCTTCATCCTAGTCTCATACCCATTAAAGACAGGAAAGTAAAGCTTTTGAGAACAGTTTGGGTCATTTCCAAATAACATGCATGAAATAATTTTTAGACCTCTAATTTTCTCTGATGCCTCTTCTGCCAGTACGTCTCCTAAACCAAGAACTGCCAGCATAATCATCTAAGACTGTTAGTCACCCAAGAGTATACTAAATGCTGTTCTGACATTTGTAGGCACCTTTTTTTCCAGTAAGAATTCTCATCTGTAATAAATGTGAAGATACCGAATAGTTTCCCTGGTGTGAATAATCTGCAATAATACATAAGATCCTAATAAGATTACTGACATTGTGAAATGGGAAGAAAGGAGCTAAAGATGTAGGGAAGGTGGGGTGGGTAGGGGAAGGGTAATAAGGGAAAAGAAAAAAGTGTGAGATAAAGAAAAGATGAAAATAAAGTGTTTGTAGATGGCGAGGGGAAGAGGGGGTGAAAGGAGGGCAGCGGTAAGGGGAAAAAATGAGAATCAAGACCTGTCATGTAGAGGTACAAGATCCCAACAATGAATGTAACTGTACTGTATCCCTAAAATGTGCCAATAAACTCAATTAAAGCTGAAAAAAAAATTTTTTTTTTTAAAAAGTGAAGTTTCAGAGCCGGGCGTGGTGGTGCATGCCTGTAATCCCAGCACTCGGGAGGCTGAGGCAGGAGGATTGCTGTGAGTTCGAGACCAGCCTGGGCTACATAGTGAGTTCCAGGTCAGTCTCAACTATATAGTGAGACCCTGTCTCAAAAACAAAAACAACAACAATGACGAAATAAAAGTGCTGACGGTCTCCAGACTTCCCGTTTTCTACTGCTGTTATTTTCAGAGATAACTGGCAAATGCAAGCAGTTTTGTGCAGATTTAAAATTATTACCCTGTTTTCTGACTTCTCAACAGTAGATCGAATAGATGGTACAGGGTCACAAAAATCGAAACTCACACTCTTCAGTCTTAAAGAGTCACTACCTATGCTGTATTGTGCATTGACAATATTTAAAATACTCATTAATAACAAATCTGCACTTGTTGACAGTTGAAGGATAGCTAAAAATGGTGTCTGCCACTTCTTTTCTCCTCATATAAGCAGCTCAAAAGTTTTAACCACAGTAAGGTGAGAGAGAAGATTCACATATTAAGGAAGGTAGGGCTAACAGGGAGAGGAGTAAACAGAGGGAGTGAGCACTGAATGGCATATAACCACCTCCACTCCCACCCCTGCCTGTGGCAGGGAAGGCATCCAGGGCCTCCTGCAAGCTAGGCAAGTACTCTACACTGAGCTATACCCCCGGCCCCTGTGTGACTGTGGGGTGATAAAAGACTATACTGTCTGGGACATGGGATGTAGGAGGCAGAAAAAAACAGACCCTTAAAAGAAAAATTGGTCCCTTAAACTACAAACCCCATTCAGCCAGCCCATTTGGAAGTTGAGAGAAGGGACATGAAGGCACCAGACCAAAAAGGTAGAGGGATTTCCATTCCGACAGGGCCAAGCCCAGCCAGGTATCAGACAGTTAGTACTATTGACAGTCTTTGTTATATACAAGCTTTCAGAATTGTTTGACCCGTACCTGATTCTGACATTTTGAATATTTTGGCCTCTGATAATTTCCAGAAGGTAACTGACTAAATGAAAAAACTTTAGACAATGGGACTCCGGATACAGTGAAATGAGCTGGAGAGAGGTTGAACATTGTTTGAGAAGGCAGGTGGGCATTGTAGCACATGTAATCTGAGCACTTGGGAGATAGGCAATAGGATTGCCACGAGTTCGAGGCCAGCCTAGACTACATAGTGAGACCTTATCTCAAAACACTGCGGGGGAGAGGGAGAAAGAAAGGGAAAGGTAGCTGTACTGTATGTGTCAGTATGCATTAAACCTATACAAGGCTTCAGCATATGAAAATATTAAATTTTTGCCATGTACTTACTATTAGGGGGTCATCACCAAACAGGACTTTTTAAGTATTTTCTCATTGTCCCTTCCTAATTCCATGAAACAAGTGTTATTTGTTTTAAGTCTCTCATTTTAGAAATGAAGAAACTGACATATCTATACTATGACTAGGAAAGCGACTCTTAAAAAAATTCATAGAGTTGTTTACTTCAGTGCATGTTCAATAGTAAGGGAGAATGATCGTACATCTGTTAAATATCTTTTTGAAATAATTTTTTATTCTTACATATAATATGCCCAACTTTAATAATCAGGAAAAATACTATTTTAAAAAAGCATTTCACCCCCAAGAGAATCCTTGTTGTGCGTCAGTCTTAAATGACTACTATTAGAGGGTACTCCTGAATAATTGATTAAGACCCAGGTATCTTAAGGCGGAGGTACGAGGTCAGCCCTTAAAGAAACAATTCCTGAGAATCCTCTTTGCCAGCCTCTCTCTCCCTCTCTCCCCTTCTCCTTTTCTCTGACCTCGATCCTGTTCTTTGGACCTAATTATCTAGATGAAAGAATAAAAATTTGTTTCATGCGTATCTTCTCCTAACTTCTTCTGGCAGTTTCTGCTTCCACAGGGACTTTTTGCTGTCAGTGTTTCCTGTAGTGTAAGTGTCCTGCCCTCTAGAAGGGCATTAGCCCAAGTGAAAGCATAGCCTCACCAGTTTATTAAAATCAGTTCTCTTAATCAAAGTAGCAAAGCTTTTACAAACATTAAACCAGCAAGAAAGCAGGCTGTATGTGAGACTGTGTAATGTCAGACAACACTGATAAGGTAATTAGGTATCTTTTCTCATCCTTGTCGCTGTAGTGCCCCTGGCTGCAGGCCTCCAAGGGGACCAAAGATTCTTCACAGATTCTTGACAGAAAGACCCTTCCTTTTTCTTCTGATTCCATACATAGGGATGTTTCAAGGATTAGGCAGGAAAAAAAGACACATCTCCATTTCATTTTCTGTTGCAACCTGCTTTCAGCCCTTCTTGTCTTTCCCTGTACTCAAGGAACAAAACAAGAGAAACAAAAGACTATGGCCCTAAAGACTATATGAGTGTTTCTTTTAACCAAAGCAAGTTTTGTGTTGATAGAACAGAAAGTAATAAATTGTACATTATTTTCTTTTGTTTTAAAGTGAGTGACTGTCTTGGTTGGTTCTTTCTGGGATCATTCCTGAAAGTTCATTCCTGATGTTAGAACCTTGTGCCAGGTGGCTGATTCGTGTTTAAAGTACATATTACAAAGTGGGAAGAGTAGGGGAAAGGAAAGGAGAAAAGAAAAAACAAGAGAGACGGAAAAAAATGTAAAGTCTTTGTAAATAGGAAGGGTGGAGGGGGTAAAAGGGAGGGAGGGCAGCGGTATGGGGAAAAAATAAGAACCGAGATGCATCATGGAAAGGTACAAGATCCCAATGAGGAATGTAACTGCACTGCATACCTAACAAGTACCAATAAACTAAGTGAAAAAAAGGTACATGTTACAATGCTTGTTTCTTAGTAGTCTTATAGTCAGAACTTTGATTGAGGCATAACATACTTATAAATGATTCGAAGACTTAATAAAGACCGTGTTCTGCTGAGTCTTACTATCATGATGAAAGTTTTATAATTTTTTTCCAAAGGTAGAATTGGCATAACTGTTTATTATTATGCTCATTTAACATTAAGGATAATTTTTGTTTAAATAAGGGATAATGGTTGGCTGTACAAAGACCCAGAAGCCTGTTCATTTGTTTGTTTGTTTGTTGTTTTTGGTTTCTTGAGACAGGGTCTGTTGTTAGTCGAGGCTGGCCTCAGACTCACGACAAGTGTGTGCCACCATACCCAGCCAGGAGCCTATTTTTATAAGGAGAATCAAGTTATTTCAGATCAGATTACTGTATATTGTGCTAAGGCCAATTGTTCCTACTTTACAGTTTAACCTAGAGGAGAAACTTTGGGAGAAGCTTCCTGGAAAATTGTGGGACTTCTGCCTTGTATTACTGGGACCCACAGCAGATGGCAGCTCCATGTAGTGGCTATGATAACAACAGAAATAAGTAAGGTTGCTTTACCTTGACCTAGGGAAGACTATTAAGCAGAAAGTATGTAAATAAACTAATAGGGTCTTTAGCATAAATATTTAGGTGTTTCTAAAATAGTTTTCTCAGAGAAGTATTTTTTTCCCTGCTCTTACAGAGGTTTCCAAAATTATAAAACAACAGGATTCAGGTAGCTTGTTGTTGAAGTCATGTAGCATTGACTAAAATTTTGAATGCATCTCTAAGAGATCAAATTTAGAAAACCATTTATTTTAGAGTGTCACAATGCATAGAATAAAAGATTATTTTCTTCCCTTAGTGGGAATTGCTAGGGGGGTACGATAAGAGGAGGTTAAGTTGCAGTCTTTCTTTTGGTACTGTGATCAAACTTAGGACTTTGAGCTTGCCAGGCCAGCAGCGGAACCACTGAGCTAAATCCCCGGCCCAGTTGACAGTCTTTTTTATGGACAGAACTCAGGCATTCTAGGGTGAAACTTGAACCAGTGGGCTGCAGTTACGCGGAGTGAGAGTAGGTGGAGTTTTAATAACACTGAGGTGCTCAGTATAGCTGCTCTTAATCACCACTCTCTGACTTCTGCCAGAGATGTCGGGGAGGCTCTCACTGCTTTGACAGTAACCTCAGTCATCTGGCAGCAGCTCTAGAATTCAGTTATGAGTTTCCATAATCAACATCAGATAACCTACAATTTATGAAAACTTAACTTGCAGCATTCACAAGTTGCAGTAGTTAGGTCTCCTTCAAATTTTAGCATGTCCACTTGCTGTTCAGATTTTCCGTCCTAAAATTTAACACATCAGAACAAATTTTAGAGTTTTTGAGATTTCTGAGGAACTTTTTTTCTCCTAAATATCCAAATGCTCTGGGAACAGAGCAATGGCTACTGGGATATGGGATCAAAGGAGGTGGAAGGAGGGAGAAGAGAGAGGAGGGGATGCAGTTCCCTGCCGGCATCCAGCAGACTGTGCAGGCCTGGCCATCTGGACTTGTAGGAGATACGGTGAAACAGACAGGGACATCTGGTCCGTTCGCGTGATCACTTGGATAGTATGTGGCTGCTGTCCCAGAGATAGCTTCGTCAAAGAGCTGTCTCCCCTGTGCCTCAGGGTTTTCTCTGCTGAACTTATCCCGTGGCCCTCTGCCACCTCCACTGCACACAGTCTGCTTCTGCAGTGACTTCGAGAACCACATCCATATAGCAAAGAGCAGAAGAGATATGGTTCCTCCTGGAGTGTGAAAGTCTGTGGGGCAAAACAAATCACATGTGTAACCAACCTATCATTACACGGGAGACATGTAAACAGCAGAGCTGGTTCACTCTGAACAACACAGCTCAAATTGAGAGGAGGAGAGGACCCTGGAGTATAAGGGGCATTGTTAGCCACATGTGATAGCACATGCTTGTATTCCCAGCACTGAGGCAGGAGGATCACAAGTTCAAGCCCAGCCTGGTTGACTTAGCAAGACCCTGTCTCAAAATCAAAACAAAAGAAAAAAGTCCAAAGGGCCAAGAATATAGCTCAGTGCTAAGACCCTAGGTTCAAATGCCAGTACTACAAAAGCCAAAACGATATAAACAATGATAACCAAGTTAAATGCATATACAGTACTTTTGTAGGTAATTTTTTACTCTAAGTTAAGATTAAAGAGCTTTCTCCAAGTCTTCCTGGCCACTTCAGAACACTTCCCTGCCTGACTTCTGGTCTGTACTTCAGTTTCCCACGTGGCTCTATCATAGGTTTTGGGTTTTAATTTCCCATTACTGCATTCACTGGTCTGTGTGAGAGGCCACGTGACCGGTTTACCTCAGTGAGTCTTTGAATTTTTTTATCTCACCACTGATTGTGGATCGGCCTGTCCACTTGACCCCTCTGATCCTTCTCCCAGGGACCACCAGTTAGAAGCTGCAATGTGAGGCTCTGTTCCCTCCTGAGATCCATCTCCACAGAGTGAATGTTGTCAAGACATCTGAAAGAGCTTGGACTTTGTGTCAGTCAAATCTGAATGCAGGTCGTGACTCTCATATTAGATGTGTGACCCAGAACAGCTTATTTGATCTCTCCAAACCTCACTGTCTTTATCTATAAAATTAGTATTCTTGTGAGGAATAGGAGTAATATGTGCTAAGTGCTGGGTACATAGTTGGCCAGAGAAAGGATCAGTCACCTTGGCAAGCTGGGAGAGTAACTGGAATACTGAGTGGAGGCTGGGTTTGGAGATAGCACATACACATCCTTTACCTTCATCATGGCAGTGATTTGCCCCACCTTGCAGGCAGAAGACAAGGCGGATGTGCTAAATAAGGAGCTCCTCTTGACCAAGCAGAGGCTGGTGGAGACTGAGGAGGAGAAGAGGAAGCAGGAAGAAGAGACTGCCCAGGTAAGAGGCACAAGTGGATCTATACACTGGAAGACTGAGAGGGAGGTTAGACTGTAAAGAAGAAGCGAAATTAAATTTATTCCAAGTCAAGGATGATGACGAAGCAATGAACGTAAGTAGTTGAGTCTTGACATTTCTTCTGAAGGGTGTTAGATGAGGCAGTGGTATTTCTGCCCTCAGGAAGCTTTTAGGAATTTGCTTTCACTGAGATGTTTAGCAAGAGTGTTGAGTTTACTCCAAGTTTAGTAACTTCCGATTATGATCCAAGAACTCTGATGAATCTGAAAATTCTGTGTCGTGTCTCCAACATAACTGACTTTTCAGTAGTGGCTGATGAGCATTGAAACTGAAAGCCAACAGTGTTCCCTGCCAGGGTTGCCAAACAGCCTCCACCTCCATCAGTCACACTTCATTTTCCTGACTCAAGCCTCAAGAGGGAGGGAGGGAGTGGTAACATTCCTGGCAGAGCACTTAAGCATTTTCCCTGCGGCAACAAAAACCCTAGAGACTCAGCATCCTGCCCTGTGTGCCACAGGAGTACAGGATGGGCAGAGAGGAGTGGGAGCTTCCTGCTCCCCCACCACACGAGCTGGCTGCTTGGCCAGTATCTCTCTGCCCCCTCTCCCTGCCAGGAGGCTGAAGATTAGATTGTAGGGTGAAGTTTCCTCACAGACCATTCAAGTCTACTGCCAAGAGTTTTTGGATTTTACTAATATATCTAATTTAGGAAGTGAGGAAACTTCTTAAATCACAATTTTTTTCATTTTGGGGCCTCAGTAATCCTAAATATAAAAGACTATAAAGCACTTAAAAGACCTTCATCCAAGTAACCAGAAAAGTTTTAGTGAAATTATACATGGTGTCATTTAACACCTCCAAGACTTACAAAAAGTGTTCCGTGATTTCTTTTTCCTCCTTGTTAGACTGTTGTAAATAAATTTTTGGCAGTTAGTGTGGCCTAAGCAGTATCCAGTTTGTAGATTCTGTAGGTGCCTTGACTGGATTTTTTTCCCTTTACCTCTGGATTTCCTTAGGCCATTGTATTACTGTAGGTGAAGAAGCTCTTGGCAAATTAATTTAAGCTATGCTGTCCCTGCCCCACGTTGCCGTTAGGTAACTGATACCCAAATTGGGAAGGGATGACATTTGCTGAGTACTCACCTAGTACATATGTTGCAGGAACAGTACAAGATATTTTACCATCTCCCTCCCACTGATCTATTTTGGGCATTCTTATAATGGTGTCTTTGTGAAATAGGGATTGTTCTCATCTGTCACATGAGAAAGCTATGGCGTAGAGAAAATTAGTGACAGTTGCTCACAGCATCTCAGCTAAGTCTGTCCTGTAGTCACTGTGGCCTTATAGGAAAGGGGAAGGTTACTGTTCATGTCGTCAATTGTGTAAGACGGAGAGTAGAGGCTTAATGTAAACAGCTGAGTTTGAATCAGTATAATCTCAAATAGTTTTTAAAATTTTAGAATGTAACAGATATGAAGAATTTAGAAATTTTCTAGTGATAGAGTCTAATATAATTGCAGTAATTTATTAATTCCCTGGGGTGGAATATGCTAATACTAATAATTTGCGATGCTGCCTTGAAGAATTCATCTCTACTCTGATTATGTACTTAATGATCAGCAAGAGTTGTTTTTTGGTCAATAATTTGGCAGCACTGAATTCTTTTCATTTTATCTGTTAGCAGCTGAACGTTTTTATTACTTTAACCTTCCTCTGTATCCAGAATTCTAGAGCGCTGGGCTACAAAACATTTGTGGTTTTAAAAATAACACTCGTAATTTAGCCCTTCAGTGACTATAACAAGTACCTTTGTGATGTGTCTCTTTAGCTCCTTCTAAACTCACTCCCAGAATCTTTGGTCCTTCTTAAGAACTCTTCTCTACTTCCATCTTTTCCTGACTCCAAAGCCTCCTGTCCTTGCCTGCAGAGAGGTAATAGCAGTGACAGCAAAGACTGAAAAAGCTTTGTGTTTTTTTTTTTCTCAGTAATTTATAACATCATGACTAATAAATTCAGGGTGGGGATTTAGCTCAGTGGCACCATGCCTGCCTCACAAGAACAAGGTTCTGAGTTTGATACCTGCTACCGAAAAAAAAATTAGATTTAAATTCATAATAAAGACAGTTTTTAGACACTTTTTCACAATGTAATTGTCAAGTAGTAAGCATAAACAGTTTTATAATAGGGTTGCTATAAATCTACTTTGCAGAATAGATTTTTACACCTGAAATAATTAGGTTTTCAAATGTTCAAGATACAACTTTAGAGAAAAGTTTATAATTTATAGATGTTACCATTATCACTATGAATCAGGGATACTTAAATATAGATGCTTATGGAAACTTATTAAGATTTTGCCTGAAATCTAATGTTTTTCTTTCTAGTTAAAAGAAGTCTTCAGGAAACAGCTAGAGAAAGCAGAATATGAAATAAAAAAGACTACAGCTATCATTGCTGAATATAAACAGGTAATGTGCCATTGTAGATTTTGTTGCTGTAAAAGTAATTACTTTTTACTTTTGCTGTTTTGATACTGGGGATCAAACTTGGGACCTTGTGCTTGTGAAGCAGGTGGCGGAATACTTTTGCTTTTTCTTTTTAGATTTATTAATTTGGTGGCTTATTCTCTCTTGTGAAATAGACAGCAGTTGAAAATGCTTGCTCATAACTTGGGAAGTCTAATTGACCAAAGCAATCTGTTGGTTGTTTAAAATGTTTGATAGATTTAGAGAGATGGGAAATACTACCATTGAGATCCTATTTCTGTTTTACTCAGAAGCTAATTTCTAATAGATCAACCAGTAGCATTTTCCTCTTAGGGAAATTAGTGGCTGTATTAAATTGCAGTAGTTAGGATATCAGCGCATAATTTGCTGTCATAGTAGACAATATCAGTCCATTTATCCCTGCATGGCTAGTGGCCCATCTTAGTTACTTCTCTTATTGCTGAAACAAAGACCCAACACTCAAAGTTACAAGAGGAAAGGTTTATTATAGGTCAGTGTGTAGAGGTTTCAGTTCATAATTGGCTGGCTCCAAGGGTGGCAGGGCATAGGAGAAATAATTCATGGCAGGCAGAAGGCAGCAAGCAGAGAAGTAGTGAAGCAACAAGCAGTAACAACAGTAGCCCCTTTTCTGCTTATCCCTTCTATTCTGTCCACTCAAACCCATGGTGGGGCAGCCTTAATCCTAGCATCAACCGTGAATCAATCTCAGCATCACATCTTTAATCCCAGCATCATACACTCTAGATTCAGCCACCTGTAGAAAGCTCCATCTGTGACCACATGAGGATTTGGTGGGACATCTAGATATAAGCCATGATTCGGTCTTTCCCACTGCAGGCCAGGTGCTAGTAGGAAGCTTCTACTGTGAATTATTCATTCAGTGGAGGGCTTGAATTCCTTGAAGACATTTCTGGCTCCATTACAGGTGGTCCCAGAAAGCCCTCATTCTAGTTGCTCTTGTGTTCCTGTCTCTTTTATTGGCTGGACATGGCAAGGACTCGTCATGGCCGAGAGACACTCAGTGGACTATACCCATTCTAGGTTTTCAGAATTGATGAACATATGCCATCTTCTGATCCAAGGATTTCTGTTGGATCATCTGCCTCATTTAGCATGTTAAAATCTGATGTGTACTATTTTTGTTTTTAATGTTTTTCTACATATTAGTGAAATTTGTTTTTATGTAGAAAATTAGAAAATACGTCTCCTTTAACTCTGCCAACTAAACATAATCATTGTAATATGTTGAGCATGCATTGTTGATATATAAATAAATGTGAAATAGATTTATAATGTGCATAATCACAATGAATTATATATTCATTCTATTTTGGAAGTAGCTTCAGTCACTTCATATATTATGAACACTTTTTCATATGAATTCCTCATATTCATGCAAGATTTCAGAGCTCTCTCTTTTTTATGGTAATAACATATATGATTGCTATTTGTGAGGCTTAATACTTTAGGAGACCAGAAGATGAATTAATCTAATCTCTCTCCTCTAGAAGCTTACCTTGCAATGGGGAGATAATACCCATGAATAAATAAAAGGAAAAGGTACTTCCTACATGTGGGAGATTAGGAAGCACTTCCTGGAGATGGGGATGATTTGATCTCTACTTCAGGTCTTGGATGAGACTTAAATGTGTGGAAATGAAGGAAAATAAGATGCAAATTAGGGGAACAGGGAGCAACACATAGGCAGATTAACAGAAAAAACATTTTATTTGGTAAGAGGTTCAAAAGAGAAGCAAACGTCTTCTGGGGCCCAGATCCAGGAAGGTCTTTAGGGCTTGGCTGAGGAGTTTGGATTTTATTTTGTTTGTAGTAGGAATTTTTGAGCAGGAAAGTGGCAAGCACAAGGACATATTGAGGAATGTGAACCAGTGGCAGAAACCACAGGAAGAACACAGAACATAAAAAGCTCTAATACCAGATTTTGAGAAGAAAGGGGACTCTGAGCTAAAATAAAGATGAAAAAACAGAAGAGAAGGATACAAGAGATAGTCCTTAGCAGGGGGTCAACAAGGAAAAGCATGGGAAATGAGCCTGAGATTTTAACTTTGGGTGACTAGAAGGGGTGGTTAGACATTAATCAACATCAGGAACATGAACATTAAAGACCATGTCTCACATGCTTTGGAATTTGCCACCACTGTAAATGCATTTTCTCATCAGCACATTTTGCCACTATATATATATGTCACAGTCTTCAAATTGTAATTTTTGAGACTATTCTTGACTGTTATCAGGCAAACTTCAAGTATGGTAAAAGGCAGAAAACCCACCTATTTGAATATAATTAGGATATAAAACTTATTCTAAGTACATTCTGTAGCTAGAATTGGCTATGATTGACTGCATTTCAAAATGCTTTGAGGTGTTGGTTAGTTTTTGAGATAGGTTCTTGTTATGTAATCCAGGCTAGTCTTGAACTTGCTAAGCCCAGTCAGCGATCTTCCTGCCTCAGCCTCTCTAGTGCTAGGATTACATTCTTGTACCACCATGCCTAGCATCAAAATGCTTTTTTAAAAAAAGGGTATATGGGGCCGGGGATTTAGCTCAGTGGTTCCACCACGTGCCTCACAAATGCAAGGACCCAAGTTCAATCCCTGATACCAAAAAAATAAGTTAAAAAATAAAAATGAGTATATGGTTTGCAAAAATTAACAGGGTCTCTCCCACCCCCAGGATTGAATCCTAGGCTTCACACACACGTTCTATTACTGAGATACGTCCCTGGAACTTTTAATTTTTATTTATTTTTTTGAGACAAGTAGCCCAGGCTGTCTTCAAAGTTGTGATCCTACTGCCTCAGGCTCCCAAGTAGCTGGGATTATATGTGTCTGCCACAACACTCAGTGACCCGTATTTTTAACATTAGTTAATACACCCCTTCTAATTGTTCCACAGGTTCGGGTCTGGAAATATTGGAAAATGAATAAGTAAGCCTTGATCTTGAACTATTTGTTAGTAACTGGAGATTTTTTTAAAATGTCATTTGATAATATATTTATATCACATTTGTCTCTAGCCTGATTTGGACTTTAAAATTTGACATCTGGCTTTTCATCAGTTTTTGTGTGTGTTTTTTCTTCCCCTATTTATCCATTTATTGGCTCTGGGGGATTAAACCTAGGGCTTTCACACTCGGCTACTCCCTTTTTAGACAGGATTTTGTTAAACCACTAAATTGCCTGCACTGGGCTTGAACTTGGAGTCCTCCTGTTTTAGCCTCCCAGAGTGCTCGCGTTACAAGCATGTGCCACCACACCCAATTTTTTAAATTCTATTTTAATACGCTTTTCTAAAATTTAAGATTCTTATTTTAGTCAAAGGCCTTGAACTGTCCAGTTTTTAAAACAGATTATTTTCCTTTGAACCTATTAGCACTTTATTTCAAAATCAATAAGGTTCTTTTACAAATCTTTTGCATACATCTTTTCATTTGATTCTTACAGCATGGCAGTTTGCCATTGTGAGGGAACTGAGGCTTATAAAGATTAACGAGTTTTCCCATGATCACAAAGCTGTAACTGGTAGAACTGGACTAGCTTTAAAAAGAATTTGTCTCCACTGCCCAAGATTTTAATTTCTATCCTGTGTTGCAAAACCTCTTCATGAGTTTTATTTTAATCTATATTAATTCTTGGTTCGTTTACCTTTGTTTTCTTCCCTTTGCTTCTACTCCTTAAGGAATGTTTTGTGATGAAAGAAATTCCTTTTGTGATGGGACAAGAGATGTTTTTAGTTCAGAATTTTTTTCATCCTGTTCCCAGCATAGTACCTTATAGATACACAGCAAAGATTCTATAGATTGATTCTCCAGTGAGGCCAGGAATTGGAATTAGTCACAGAAAGCTAGTAACCAGCGTGAAACCATATCTATCCAAGTCTGTTTCTATTAAGACAGAATTACTATTTTACCCATGGAACTCAGGCTTTCTGCTCATTTTAGAAGTGGCAGTGCTACTCATCTGCAAAATGTCTGGGATCAGCTGTGCTACTTCACGAGTTGATAAACTGTTATGAACATAAACATGCAGTGAGTCGTTCTGTTTTCTAGCAAACAAACTCTTTTCTTTGCCTTAGATCTGTTCCCAATTAAGTACCAGGCTGGAGAAACAGCAAGCGGCCAGCAAAGAGGAGCTGGACGTAGTGAAGGTAAGGAGTGAATTAGTTCTGTAATACAGCTTCTTTTGACTCAGTCTTGTGAGTACCTGAAAAGACCCCTTTCCCCATTTTGTCCTGGGTGTGACTGAGAGGTGTTAAATAAATCACGTGGGATGTCAGTGTCGGGAGCAGGAAAAGCGGCAGGATTTGAGCATTGGCACAAAAGGCTCCTGAGCTATGTGGCTTTGTTGGATGGTGGGAACCTGAGAATCCTCAGCAGCCCACACCTGAAATGATGCAGCTTCAGTTTGGGACTCAGAGGCATCATCCTATCACCTCTGAGCAGTAAACACCATGAACAATATAGAACTTGGCTGGAAGAATAGTATATGTTAGGTAACTGATTCATTTTAAAGTAATTATTTTTATTGGTACATTTTAGATTACATAATGATCACAGTCATTATAGGGAATTTGTACCTGTACAGGATATATTTTGATTCTTTTTTTCCCACTGTCTTTAACCCCTCTACCCCTTCCTTATTTGCAAAAGTTTTGTTTCCATTTTTTTCCTGACCCTTGCCACTGCCAGCTCTCCTTCCCATTTGAACATTTTCTTCCCATTTCAGTCTGTTTTACATTTTGGTCCTTATTTACAGCTTCATCTTCTCACACCAGAGAAACAATGCAATATTTACACGTGTGTCTGATTTATTTCACTTCCAAGTGTATGGTCTCAAGAGAAAACCTGTAGCATTTATTTTTATGCTGCCCCCTGGTGGTAGCACTGTTTTTGCTCTCCTTGTAAAAGTACTTATTTTTTAGAAACAACCCAATGGATTGGTGTTCTAAGCAGTGTTGGCAGTCATCTCTTAGGTTCATGTCACAGAAACATGGCATCCTATTTGAATATGATTAGGTTTCCTATTGGTAAATAAATGTGTTCTAGGAAATTTACCATATAATTAACAACTTTAAAAAGCTATTTAATGTCTTTAATCCTCATTATACAACCAATCTGGTGATTAAATAAGAATGTATGTAAAGTGCCTAGGTTAGTACTTGGCATACAGTAAATATATATTTTATGTTAAAACCTGAAAATATGAACCTTGTTCTGACACTGTATTTTAAAAGTGGTACTAGTTCATGGGCAACTGAGGTTTTGTTCATAAAAATTTTTCCTATACCAATGTCTTCAAGAGTTCTACCTAAAAACTAAACCTAAAAAAAAAAAAAAAAAAAAAGAGTTCTACCTAACCTCTTACAGCCAAGTTAGTGTTTCTGTTTTAATATTTAGATCTTTAATCCATTTTTATTTTAGTTTAGTGCATGGTGAGAGATATGTCGTTTTAATCTTTGTTAAGTTGAAACCCAGTTTTTCCAGCAGTATTTACTAAAAAGGCTATCTTTCCTCCAGTGAGGGTGTCTTTGTCAAAGATGAGGTGGCTGAGTATGTCTGGAGTTGTTTCTGCATCTTCTAATCTGTTCCACTGGTCCTCAGGTCTGTTTCTTTGCCAGTGCTATCCTGTTTTTATCTCAGTAGCTTTGTAGTATGGTTTCAAGTTGGGAATTGTGATACCCCCTACCTTGTCTACTGCCTAGAATGACTTTGCTATTCTAGGTCTCTTCTTGTTCCAAATGAATTTTTGGATTGTTTTTTCAAGGTCTGTGAAATATGCTTTTGGGATTGCACTAAATCTATATAGCAGTTCTGGAAGTATGGCCATTTTCACTGTGTTGATACTTCCTACCCAGAAGCAAGAGATGTCTTCCCATTTTCTGATATCTTCTTCACTCTTTTTTTCAGAGTGCTGTAGTTTTCAGAATAGAGGTCTTGATTTTTGTCAGACTGATACCTAGCACACATTGAGGTGATACTCTTAGGTGAAATAAATAGGACACAGATAGATAAATACTGAATAATTTCTCTAGTGTGAGTATACATAAGGACTAAAAGGTATACTAGATAATGTGAAATATGAAGAAAAGGGACATAAGAGAAGGAGAAATTGGAGGGGTAGGGGAAAGGAAAGAAGGGAATGGAATTAATGTGAGAAAATGAAAAGTAATGGAAACAAAGTCCTTGTAGATAGGGAGGGAGGGGTTGAAGGGAGGGCAGGGAGTTAGGGGAAAGATAAGAACCAAGATTACGTAAAGGTACAAATTTCCAACAGTGAATCTCATTATATTGTTTACCTTAGTACCAATAAAATTAATTTTTAAAAAGTGTTTTTTCCCCTTATCTCATGTTACATTGACCTGAGATTATTAGGGAGTAAAGAATTGGTGGTCTCCCTGTACAAACCTGCAAAAATTGGGGCCAGGGATTTAGCTCAGTTGTTCTGTCACCTGTTTTGCAAGCACAAGGTCCTGAGTTCAATCCCCAATACCAAAAAAGGATAAAAACAAAAACCTGCTAAAATCTAGGGGTCATATCTTCTTCTGATTCACCTTTGTAAATCTTACTTGGCATTTACTACTGTTTGTATATTATAGGTCCACTAAGATTTAATTAATGAACTATCTTGCCATAAAAAGGTTAGCTATCTTGAACTGAAACCTTTATGAAAATGAAATTAAAAGATAAGCATTGATCTCATAGTGAGAGTTTAATAAGCACATGTACAGCTACTGGACTGCCATTTTGTTATAGAAATTACAATGAAAAAGAACTTAGTTGCTCCTGTAAGACAATTAAATACATATGCCCTTGAAACATTTCAGAAACAGTTCAAGAATTCTGAAGTGAATTGTGCTGGCAGCAGAGTTGTAGAGAAAGCAAAACATAAGAACTACAGACCAAAGAAGGCTTTTGGGAGGAGGTTGGACTAAAAAGCAGGATGGTTAGAAATCATTTGAGAAAAGGATTTTAAATGGACATTCTGGAAGAAATTGTAAGCACAGATCCAGAATCTGCATTTTAGTGTCTTTTTAAGGACAGATGTGATCAGGATATATATTAAAGAAACTGAGGAAAATATTGGTTAAGTAATTTAGACTACCTAATGAAAGGCCACGACATTCCAAAAGAAGGGTATGAACTTGTATTAACCACAGTAAGGACCAACATTCATTAACATTCACTGTGCGCACGTTTCTGCATTGCTCTAAGATTTTACATGTGTTAGCCCCTCAACTCTCTAACTACCTAGAAAACAGACAGTCTTACATCTTCACTTTATTAATGATGAGGAACAAAACAGGTAATTCTTTTGTTCAAGGTCACACCACTGGTAAGCAGTAGCTCTAGGACTTGAATCCAGGGACTGAGAATCGAAAGTCCATGTTCTTCTCCATTGGACTCTTCTACCTTCCCTTTCTCCAGTGCTACTTCTTCACGTCATTTGATATATGTGTCAGCTTCTGATTTTTCCAGCTTCTTGTAACAACTTTCCTCTATCACTGCTGTCCCTCATCCCGTACACTATCATCAGAATGAACGTTCCCAAAGGTAAATCTGACTGTCTTTCTGGTTATCAGATTAGAGTTATTCTGACATATAGTCAACTCAAAATAAGATTGGATTAGGCACAAAAAGGTGTTGATGATGCTATGTAACAGCAGTCTAGGACCACAAAGCTGGATTCTTGGTTACCTGTCACTAGTGATCTCAGCACTGGTGCCCATTCTTGAGGGCACCTAACAATCACAACTGTCAGCTGGAGCTTCTGTCATCACACCCACACTCTAGGGCAGGACTGTAGGCCCAAAGACAATGCAAGGTCAAAAGGGCCTTAGTCCAGCTGGGTAAGCACTTTCTAAGCAGCTTTCTTAGCTAGGAGTGGTGGTGCACACCTGTAATCCCAGCACTCAGGAGGCTGAGGCAGGAGGATCACTGAGTTCGAGACCTGCCTGGGTTGCATAGTGAGTTCCAGGTCAGTCTCAACTACATAGTGAGATCCTGTCTCAAAAAACAAACAAACAAACAAACAAAAAATCCCCACACACAAAAAAACTTAAGCAGCTTTCCTAGTTCTGCACTGTATTTCTGCTTACATACCAGAACTTTTTTGCAGCCACACGTATTCTGGAGGGCATTTGAGGAATGTTACCATTTATCTGGAGAATTTGTCAGCTCAAATAAAATCAAGGTTCTATCCCTAAGGAAGGGTAGGTTCAGCAGATCCTACCACATTTTAGCATAAATGCATATAGATTGCACTTCATGGAGCTGACTGCTATGTCTGGCTCAAGGTCAGGTGGAGGGAATGAATACATTTTCTACAGGATAAAATCATGATTCAGTGGCCATGGTATTTAGGATATTTGCAACCTAGCTGCAGAGAATGCTCATCTCATTTCTTACCCTTCACTTTTGTTTCACTTATACTCTGCTTGGCCATTCTGGATTCTTGAAGTTCTTAGAAGGTGCCACAGTTTGGCATGTTAATTTCTCCACCAAAATATTGCCCTCCCTCTTATATCTATTCCTTCTCTGGTTCAACCTATAAAATTGCTTGTTAAATTTTTGATCATTAGGATCTACATCAAAGCTATAATACACAACAGATATTTGCAGTATAGCTATTTTGTGCCAGAACTCGTCTAATTATTCTTTTAAGATTCTTAAGAGAATGGCAAATGTTTTCTTTATATGTCTGATGGAATATTAATCAGGAGTATGAAGGATGATACAAACAGGTTAAGAAAAAAAGTCAGTGGGGACAGATTAGGAGACTTAAGTGTTTGGGCCTTGGATGGAGAAGTCTTGGACATGTCAGAGGAAGAATTTAATGATCAACCACACATCGGAATCAGGAGTAGATGATGAACAGATGATACCCAAATCTTCAGGGCTTAATGATGGAGTGACTCAGGCATAGTGACAGAGCAGTGCCATACAGAATTACTTTATGTGCAAAGAGAGAAGTTTAATTATGGTTATGAACATGACATCAGAGTAGTAGCAGAAGTAGTGTGTAGTATATTTTTAAAGTTTTACGTTTTAAAAATTACTTAATTTTTATAGTGCTGGGGATGGAACCCAGGGCTGTGCATTTGCTAGGTCTACTGCTGAGCTACATTCCTATCTCTATCCCCATTTCTAATTTACTTTTAAGATATTTTCAAAATACAATAGCACCACTGCCTTGAGAGAGGCGCTATTGTTCAGCGTTCTGTGCCTGACTGGCAATTTGGGAACGTCGTAGAGTTGCTTTTATTACCTTAAACAATAAAGATCATTTGTTTAAAGTTGAACAGTAAGACATGCACTTTGTTGTAACGGTAATTTAAGTCAGACATGATGACCTTCAGTCTACTGCACACAAGTTACTCTTGAGTTTTTTCATTTATAAAATAGCATGAGAATCATACGTCATCCTACTTCCCTGATGATTAAATGAAACACCACAAGTAGAGGATACGGTGTGGGGCTTGGTGCCTAGTAAGAATAATGGTAGCACAAATTCCTAGAACTGACTGCTCTTTGTAGAGATACTTAAGGAAAAAAGAATACCTGTCTTAAATAGTTGGGTTTTTGCTGAATCAAACAATTTTAATTGCAGAACAAGAAAAAGAATACCTTCCAAAAAGGGACTGCATTGAGCGCAATAAGCAGTATCTTAAGTCATATTGGCTGCACACAGTGGCACACATCTGGAATCCCAGTACTCTGGAAGGTTGAAGCAGGTGGATTGCAAATTTGAAGCCAGCCTGGACAACTTAGCAAAAACCTGTCTCAAACTAAAGAAAGGGGGTGGGACATAGCTCAGTGTGAAGACCCTGAGTTCAATCCCCAGAACCCCTTCCCACATTATGTATTCGTTCAGGAAATGATTTAGCCTATGAAAATTTGATGTTGATAGTCTCTTTTGGATATTTCAGGGTAAAATGATGGCATGCAAACACTGTAGTGACATTTTCAGCAAGGAAGGCACTTTGAAACTGGCAGCCATAAGCAGAGAGGACCAGGGAATTGAAGCAGATGATGAGAAGGACTCGCTCAAGAAGCAGCTGAGGGAGATGGAGCTGGAACTGGCACAAACTAAACTACAGCTGGTAGAGGCCAAGTGTAAAATCCAGGTTGGTGATCTGTGATCAATAAGGAAAAAACAACAGTCATGGTTCAGGCTGCCCTTGTACTTTAGAAAATGCCCTTCAAGTCAAAATCTTAAGATGTTACCGTATTAGTTGTATATGTTTTCTGTCCACTAACATGTCCTACAGAGTTGCATTTTACACCATGTTTTTTTAAAATTTTACTTCTTTTGGGGGTTACCGAGGATTGAACTCAGGACCTTGAGCTGCAACCTAAACCTAAATTTTTATCTAGATTGCAGGAGGGAAAAAAATGTAATGAGGTTTCCTTTTATTTTTCAGAGAATGTGCAGATTTCTGGCTTTCAATGGTAACTCTTTTAGCTCTAAAGTTTTTCCTTCTATTAAGAAGACAATTAAATCTTTCCTGGGTTTTGAGCAAAACGGACTGCATAGCTTTGGGGATTCCAGAAAGCTATATTCTCAGTTTCTTTTGACAGAGAGAAAATACTCAAATGATTTTCTCCTTTAATTAGGAACTTGAACATCAGCGAGGAGCCCTTATGAATGAAATACAAGCTGCAAAAAACTCTTGGTTTAGCAAAACCCTGAACTCTATTAAAACGGCTACGGGCACGCAGCCACTGCAGCCACCACAGGCTCCCCAGCCACCCAAGGAGAGCACATAGTTCCAGCCTCATTGAAGCACAAGAGCACAATGATCAAAGCAGTGAAAACCTAGGATTCTTCCTGGGGTCCCTTGAAGGAGGCCAGAAAGCAACCCAGAATCTTCTAGTAGCTCTCTCTTCTATGTTGCTTTTCAAAGGGATGTTATTTAAATTGACCTGATTTATGTTGAATACCTGTTTTTCCAGCTTCTTCAGTGGAAGGCCATGTTCTGATCCATTGTAGTATTGCACATTATTTTATATGCCTGATATTTAGTTGAAAATAAGTAATTCAGAACTAAATGCATTTTATTTAGAACTAATGATTCCTAAAATTTTAATCTTACACAGAAAATGGAGACATCTGTTATTCTAAGACTGAAGAGATAAGATCTGTGTTGTGGAAAAAAATTTTTCTGAAACTTCTTTAACTTCCCAAGATTTTTTCAGATAAAGCACACTGTAGGGCTGGTCATGACCACTGTCAGGTTTTATCCTCAGATTGATTCCCAAGGTAGCAACACTCCTATCCCAAGGAAAGAATAGACCAGGGACTGAAAAGTCCCCAAAGAGATTTTGGTTTATTTTCATTTTATGTCAGGTATGTCTGGAAACAGAGTGTCAAGAACTGCGGAATAGATGAGGTATTGAGAATAAACACTGTATAAACAACTGAGATTTTGATAAACACAGAGTAAAATCATTTTAGCTCTGGTATTCTAGCAGATCTTAAGAACTTCACATGGGACTTGCAGTTTCCCAGTATAAACACAGATATGACTTCTGGCAAGTGCAGAGTGAAAAGTGGGTACTGTGAGTTGCAGACCTGGAACCTGCTCCACAGAAGTCTGGCAAGGCCCAGGTTCAGCCATTGTGCTAAGAGTATGGAATACACGCCAGTGAACCAGTGACCAGTAATTTCATCTGATGTTGGCATACTTGCTAAGGAAACACTAATATTCTGTGACTTTGTTAAAAGATAAAGTACTGAAATTGAAATTGAGGGCAACTTCACATCATTTTAGTTTAATGTTAGGGAACTTTTCCTCATCTCTATAGCACCCTAAAAATATACCTTTAGTACCTGTAGGTGAACAGACACAAATGCATTTGTAACATCTTTGAATTAAAAACCTTTATAGAACTAATTATCCCAGGAAAAGTGAAGCTATTGTTTAAGAATTGGTGGAAATATTTTTAAAATTACATTAAACTACCTATACAAATAGTCCTTTCAGGAAATTCGTTGGTAAGGGGAAAACTAACTCTCCCATTTGTAAGCTATTCTAAAGATATCTGGTCTTCTCACCAGCCAAACTACTTTGGCTATGAAAATAGCACTTACTGATACTCATTCTTGTTCACTGGTAAACATTAGTTTGCAAAGGTTTTTAAACTCTATAGTGCCAGACTGTTTCTCTGTGCCATAGGTTGCAATTATAACACACCTTTAAGAGTTAGGATCAAATAAGAGCCTTTGTAACCCCAAGAGCATGGACTACAAGTTGCTCATGATAGATCCTCTCCCCTGAATTATCTTGAAGTTCTAAAAAGTGAAATCCCTTTTATCTGTTTATATAATGTCTACAGCCCATAAAACTGATACAGTTTTTTGGGGTATACGTTATACTTTTCAAAATAATACTTTTCTTACAGAAATCTTTTGTTATTCTGATATCACCCATCATAAATTCATTTATTTTTACCAAATAGAAAAATTGCAACATTCCAAGTGTCTGTGTTGTCTTTAACATTCCCTACATGGTGGTTTAGATCAGCAGATAATTCTTTTGTAATATATAATGGCTAGAAAATTATATTGTGACATTTGTTTCTATAAATCATTTACTACAGTAGGTTAATTTACTAGTATTTTATGCTTTGACTTCAAGAAGCCCTGTAAAAATTGTCTTTTTAACTGGTGAGCTAAATTACAAATACATTTTTTGTGTTGTGAACCTCATAGTACCACAAAGAGCCCCCTTTGATTTCTTAAATTCCACAAGATGCCTAATTACATAATTTTCTTTAAATCATAGTTAAGGGACAAATATAATGGCTCCAGGTCAAGTCCTTATCTATAGATTTGATTCAATTTATTTATTTATTTATTTATTTTTTGGTACTGGGGATTGAACTTGGGTCCTTGAGTTTGTAAGGCAGGTGCTGGAACCAGTGAGCTAAATCCCCCCCAGGCCTTTTTTTTTTTTAACCACCATGAGCACACATTCCAAAAGTTTGATAAAGCTATCTTTTGAATTTTATTTTAACTTCTACAGAAGATTATAAGGGCAATATACAGTTTTTTTTCCTTTAAACCTGTATCAAACACACACACACACACACACACACACACACACACACACACACACACATACCACAGTCTAAATTTTCCCTCACTACAATGCCTTTGACTCAGTAGCAAGTAAAGAAAATGAAAATGTGGTATATGAGTATTCACACAGTATGTTGTAACAGCAGTATTCCAAACCACATGTCCTTTGATGTGTACTGTTTGAAAACTCATGCATCCCAACACAAAGCAATTACAGTGGCCCTCTGACTTACGAATTCAGTTGTTCCTGAGGGCTGGTTGCAACTCAAATTGGTTTTAAGTCAATACAGCTGAAATCTTGGTGTTTACCTGGCTACTCTCTGTAGACAAAAAGAGGTAGATGATTCTTCCATTAACCTAATTAACCCAAGTTGATTATATATCAGACTAGTCATAATTTGACAGTCCACGGTACTAGTTTTAATTTTACATATTTTGAGATATATTTGAGAATTGCAACTCTTCTCTTGAATTTCTTTTATTTTTTATTTTTTGGGTACTGGGGATTGAACTCAGGTCCTTGTGCTTGCAAGGCAGGCCACCAAAGTGCTGAGCTAAATCCCCGGCCCTTGAATTTCTTTTAGAAAGAGATCAGCCAAACATCCAGATTTCCAAACATTCCAGTGATTCTCATCCTTTTCCTAGGATGTACACTATATAAAACATTCCTCCAAATATCCAATATTTGCAACATCTGAGAAGTAATCATTTCTCTTTTCATTATATCCCATAAAATAAAGTGAATACAATTCAACTTAGTAATTCAGTTCATTAGCTTTTATAGCTTGAGAATCTTAATTTAACACATTCTTTTAAAGCTGAAAGAAACGAAGCTGAACTTCACAGTACATATGTTTGCTAGCTTCCAACATCACAATTTGGTTATATTTAGGTACATGTAATCTAATGCAAAGATTTCCTCCGTTACCTAATGTTCTGTATATGAATGGCCATCAGAAACATTAGTGGAAATATCATACAGACTAGGACCTTTGTTTCTATACAATGAAGATCTCTCTTCTCTCCTAGCTATTAATTTCTTCTTCATTGGGTTCCTTAAATTTTCTTGGTCAAGACAAATGTAACCTTTGTACCAACGTTGGAATATTTAATAGCATTTATCTCATTTCATTTTTAAGAAATGTTCATTCTTTCCTACTGTATATTAGTATTTATATTTTTTCCAACCTCTACTCCATGTTCCTCAAGTATTTGCCAGTTAACAACTAGTGGCTTAATTTCATAGCCAAAATACAGAGGTGCAGGCACAGGAGGTAAGAGTTAGATCCTTAAAGGAGTCAGTCATCTAGGATAAGAATCACATACATTTCCTGGGAAAGAACACTTAATTATAGCAAGATGATTGTATTATATAATTTATCCTTACAAAAACATTCTACAATAGTTCTGACTCTCCTTACTCCATTACAAGTAAATGAGAGATTGAACTAATTCTGTTGTATGATTTGAGCACTTAGGTTTTTGTTTGTGTGTGTCGTTAGTGATATTTTATACAGAGTATCCCTGCCTCTTCTGTATGCTCATACCTTGCAGCCAAATATATGTTGAGATGCAGGGCACAATGATAAAACCAGAAGGTTAGACCACAGCTCTGCAGCCTGTTTCCACCTACCAGATATACAAGTAAAACTCTCAAGTCATCATGTTTATGTCATGGAACTGTGTGATAACATTCTTCCTGAGAGTGGCATCTATAAAATAAAGACAGGCTCTTTACCTTAGAAACTTCCTTACCATTCAAAATGTACAGAAATGATGACTTCACTGTGGACTGTACCTCAACAGGTGATGTCAATCTTGAGTTGTAAGGAGAAAAGTATGTATTTACGGGATTTTAGTGATTATAGCCAGCTGTCTGGTGTACTGAGTTTCCATCTCAGACTATATGTCAAGCTTATCTTTAAATGAATTTACTATCTGCTATTAAAAATATTTTCAATATATCCCATTTTCCCTACCTCCATCCTTGGTTTACCCTTAGTTGTTGTATTTTGAAGTTTTAGAAAAATGAATCATTAAGAAGAAAATAAGCATTTTAAGTTACTTTCTTTTTTCATTGCAATTGGTTATTAACATGTAAAAATTCTTCCATAAGCTGTAACTGTAATAACTATATATTATATATGGAATAAGATAAAGGAAACTGAATTGTGAGATTATAAATGCATCAAAAGACTCTGGTATCATGAAAGCACATGAATAAAGCTGGAGATGGTCCCAGAATCCAAGATGTCCCAATAGCCTTTTTCATCAGTTTCTCTATTTTTAGTATTTGCATAATGCATGGATACTTAGTTCAAACAAGGGGAAAAGTTTCTCAGCCCCACTTCCTTTTTTCCAACTCCTACCTTTTCCTTGCTGAGGAGGTAGTAGAAATTCTGTACTATTTTTATGAAACTTATGATTCTGCCCACATCTTCTATAATAAAAAAGGTTACAGAGTAGTTGATTAGTACAAACAGTGCTAACTGACTACAAAAGAAACATTAGCTATCAACCTCTCTATAAACACCAATTAGATGTTTCCATAATTCCATGTATTATGTATAGTATACTATAAATGTAAATGTAATGCTTGTTAAGAAAAGTGCAATTTATTGTACAATGTCCCAACAAATGTTTACTTTTATAATTGTTATGAACGTGAATTGGATTAGTATCTTGTTTTTATGTGTGAATGAAGCCTTGTGAAATAAACAGATGCAACCAAGAAGTAACAAGGTGACTGTTTTTGTGAGCCAGTGATGTTTTCAATGCTTTGTGTTGCCCCTTTGGCCCCATTATGCAGTAATAAACATTTGTTCTAAAATCCATATATGTCTCTTGATATTTTCAAGTTAACTTTTTTCTGAATCATTTGAACTTCTTGTTTAAATTAATGCTTCTTATCTGATACAAGGCTTCAGTCAACTTACAAAGAAAACAGTTTTCTCCATAGTGTCCCCCCAAAATAGTGTCCTGTACAGCACCACTGCCAACTTCCTATTCTATACTGAGGTTCCTTGGTCGCAAATTAAAACAAACAAACGAAAAACAAACTTTTAAAGGCAATTACTGTAATTAAGAGGAAGTAGAGTTATCTGTACCATGGAACCCTAAGATCAAATGGCTGGGCCTGAAGAAGCACTGAGACCAGAGACTGAATTGCCATCAGAAACTAAAGTAGCCATTTCCATTTTTACTCTTCTTATCTTTTCAGGTATTTCTTATCTGCTTCATTTTTCTCTTAGAAAACAAGATTTCTCTGCTCTGCACAAATACCAAGTTTACCAGTCCTTCCTTCAAATGACCAGCAGAGATGGAGTAGCCATCTCAGTATCCCAAGTCCAGATTCTCCAAGAATTGGCTGCTGCTAGTCTTCCAAGGAACATCAAAGTGGGTAGTAACTGTATTATATAATTCAAACAGAATTCCAGAGTCTCACCTATAAATGGAGAACCCCAATGATATCTATTCTGCATTTGTGTTATATGCTGGGAGTCTGTAGAACCTGAGTGAAAGCTAAGAGACTGGCCAGCTCTTCTTAGAATTCAGAATTATTAAAAATATTAATCAGCTCATAAAATTACAGTTTATAGTCAAATCCAGACTGCAGACCTCTTGTGTGGCCCATGTGGTGTTTTAAACTGAAAAATTTTTTTAAAAAAATAAAAGTAAAAATTATTCAGAAAATATCCACTGGTGGGAGGTCGTGAGTGGATTTAACATGAACAATAACTAGGGGGAGGCAAGGCTGATTAAAATAGCATGAATAAATAAGAATTTTTCTTGTTTTTTTAATCACATTTTTGTTTTGTTTTGTTTTGTTTTTGGTACCTGGGATTGAACTCGGGGCCTTGCACTTGCAAGGCAGGCCACCAAACTGCTGAGCTAAATCCCTGGCATGAATTTTTCTTGGTTTTTTGAGACAGGCTCTCACTATGTAGTTGAGGCTGGCCCTAAACTCATGGTGATCTTCCTGCCTAAGCCACCTGAGTGCTGAGATTACAGGCATGTGCCACTACACCTGGCCAAGAATTTCATTTTGAAAGGAAAATTGTCTAAAACTTGGAAACAAGGCAAAAAGGTGAGTGACATGTCTCTTCAATGTCCAACCAAGGATTGGGAGATTGCACTTTGCACATCTTACCTATTCACTACTGATTAAAGGTTTTATACTTCATCTGTATATTACAGATGTTTGTCCAGTAAGACTATAAATCCCCAATTTTCTGTGGAATATAACTCCAAAGTTTATACTTTATTCCACTGGAGGGCACTAACCAGTTTGTATCTAACCTTGCAACCTTTTACTGTATTAGCATTCCAGTAAGTTGCCTGGAAATACTTTTTTTTTTTATTTTGTTTTTGTTTTTTTTGAGACAGGGTCTCACTAGACTGACCTGGAATTCACTATGTAGCCCAGGCTGGTCTCGAACTCACAGTGATCCTCCTGCCTCAGCCTCCCAAGTGCTGGGATTACAGGCGTGTGCCACCACACCTGGCCTTGCCTATAAGTACTGTGAAGCAGTTTTAACATCTTAATTTCCTCACCTGATAATGAGGTTATTAAAATATTTGTCATGCATATATATTTGCATGAGAACTTTGATTTTCTTTTAAATAATACTTTAGCAAGACTTTTATTATCAAAGGAAGAGCAAAATTTTTAAAAAGTTTACTTGCAAAGAAATTTGGAAATGAAATTCAGGCTTTAGAAGAGCTGGCTCAACCAAATAGAGATCACAAGTATAATATTTAAATTTTAAGAATCACACAATTTCAAGCTTTTGAGTCTAGAATTGGTTCGTGGTGGGAAA